CAGATTGACATAATTGATGCATGCACAACACCCCATAATTTTATGATTATTATTTGCATAATTCTCTGCTGTTCCGAATCAAAATAAAAGATTCCGAAGACCGGGGACCGGAGAAGACCGCAATTGAAGGGTCTCGCTCGAAGCCGGACGCACACAACAGGAAAGGATTTGCATTATTTCATTTATTTTATTTATTGCAATCACATACAAAATCCTGCGTGACAGGCTGTTGGCTTTCCACTCGCCCGAAGCGACTCGAGTGCGACAACGCGATTCAGAGCCCAAGAAGGCTAAAAAGAAAGATGCGCCAGATATAGAGCCGCATCTCAGAGGTAATAGGTAGAAGGGGTTTTATTTCCTTAACCGCGAGGTTTGCTCCGAGCGAAAAGGCAATGCGGTATCCGGAGCCTAAAAAGGCTAGCCGCGGCGCCATCAGGGTGAGCCGCCCAATAAATGGGTGGCAACGTGAGTACGGCGGGACAAGGAGGCCGTCGTGCCGATAACAGCGCAACTGACTTTGAAAAGGGAGGCCGACGAGGCCTGCCTATGGTCAAGGTTGGGTAGCCTGTTGGGCTGCTACCCTTCATATAGAAAGGTAGCAGGCTTAACTTCTGTAAAAAGGAGTTAGCCCAGTAGGTTACCGTGCAAAATTTTCACTCAGCAGATGCTGGGATCGAGCCGACGATAAGCAATTTGGGCTAACTCCTTTTGTTTTGGAGCTGCCCACTGCACCAGCACGAAGCGCGACAATTCTCGGTCGCGAGATCATCAAATCTCACGGCCGGGAACGGCCGCGTGGCTGCAGCATGACCCCTGTGCAAGGATGACACCATAAATCGAGAAATGGTCCAAAATCCCGGTAGGGATTTGAATCCGGGTCTGTACCTCGATGTGCCATAGCAGGCCACGATGAGACATGACCGTTGAGGAGGAAAACAACCAAAAGAACAGTCTTTGCAGACTGTGTGGGAGCACAAAGGCTCCCACTCCGTTTTGGACAGATGACTGTGGCCGCGAGATCTTCAGATCTCGCGGCCTACAGTTCACACGTGGAAAGCAAGAGGGGGTTGGAGGAGTTGGGTGGAGAGTGAGAGAGAGAGAGAAATGGGAGGATGGGGAGAGGAGGATCTGCTCCTCCCGACCTGCCAGCTGCCTCCCCGTTGTCAGGGGGGTAAGAAGAAAAAGAAAAGAAAAGAAAAGAAGAAAAAGAAAAGAAACAGAAAACGAAAAACGGGATCAGAGTTTTTTTTTGAAAAGTTGTATTTTTCAGTTTGCGCCACTATTTTTATGGTGGCGTAAAACAATTGTTTTGACCTTGATTTTTTTTATGTAGGTAGTCAGGCACGTACGCCATGTGCATGAATGTTTTTAGATTTTTTCATTCAGCGAATATTTTTCCAAAATTTATCAAAGTCGGGGAACTTTTTGCACCCCGCCCTGAGCCTGTCAGGATTTGAACTAATGAATTTTCACGAGTTCTTTCCCTACTCCTCCGAACCTGACAACTGTACTCCCCGTTTTCAGGGGAAGGCAGCAGAGGAAAGGGGCAGGCAGTTGACAAACAACTGCATGCTCCTGGCTCAAATCACGGCCAGGAGCATTGCAGTTGAGGGGGTTAAAGTTTTCTTGATTTATTATTATTATTATTATTTTTTTTTCTTTACTTTTCATGAGGACACTTGTCATCACGTGAAGCTGCCAGAGATAACTGTCAGGCTCCAGTTTTTTAAGGGAGCCTGAAAATTGAGGGGTCATGAAAAAGAAAAGGTCAAGTGCAGCCTTTTCCTCGATGTATCTGCCCTGGGAAAAAGGTCCAGGTACATCGAACTGTAAAGGGTTGTATCTCTCCAACCCCTTATCAGAAAAATAAAAGAAAATTTTTTTTTGGCAATGGCAGGAACCCAGCTATCTCGTGAGATTCCGAGATAGCTGGGAAAAAGAAATAAAAAAATAAAATAGGGCAGTTAAAAAAACTGCCCCACACTAAGGCTGTGGTTGTGGTGCGACCACAGTTAGCCCTGGATTTTGGAAAGATCAAGGGCTCAATGTGAGCCCGCGTTTTTGCCTGAGGGCTGGAGTGACGCCCAACCCTCCTCAGCCACTATATAACAGGCAGCTGTCCCCAGCTGCCACACAATGCACTCGTGATGCCAGTGTGTGACGAGCACACTTGAGTGTTGCTGGCTACTGGAGTTGTTGCCTGAGACAACGTGAGCAGAGGCTGGAGACCTGCTGAGGAGCGCAAGGAGGAGAGTTGGGCAGCCATAGCCAAGGCAGGGAGCACTCCGCTCCCCTCCCCTCTGGCTGATGTTGGTCCCACGGGGCTGACCCAGGGGCGCTGTAGGACTACGGCAAGACGGCGATGTGAAATTTGGGTCTGGGGCCCAAATTTTACCGATTTTGGCCAGCTATTTTTCCAGTATAGTGGGGAAGTGCTGCCAAAATTTTACAGCGGCGGCCAGCGGCGACGCGGGTTTTACGGCGGTAGTACGAAAGTGCTGCCGAAATTCTGCGGTGACGACGCGGGTTTTACGGCGGTGGTACGAAAGTGCTGTCGAAATTCTGTGGCGGCGACGCGGGTTTTACGACGGTAGTACGGAAGTGTTGTCAAAATTATGCGGCAACAACACGGGTTTTACGGCGGTAGTACGGAAATTCTGCCGAAATTCTGCGGCGGCGACGAAGGTTTTTCGGCGGTGGTACGAAAGTGCTGCCGAAATTCTGCGGCAGCAACAAAGGTCTTACGACGGAGGTGCGTAAGCGCTGTTGAAACTCTACGGCGACGACGCAAGTCTTACGGCGGTGGTGCGGAAGCGCTGTCGAATTTCTGCGTCGGTGGCACTGATTTTAACGACAGTGGTGCGAAAGCGCTGTCGAAACTCTGTGGCGGCGACACTCAGTTTAACGGCGGTGGTGCGGAAGCGCTGTTGAAACTCTGCGGCAGCGGCACTAAGTTTGACGGCGGTGGTGCGGAAGCGCTGTTGAATTTTTGCGGCGGTGACACTGATTTTAACGGCGGTGGTGCGAAAGCGCTGTCGAAACTCTGCGGCGGCGACACTAAGTTTAACGGCGGAGGTGCGGAAGCGCTGTCGAATTTCTGCGGCGGCGACACTGAGTTTCTCGGCAGTGGTATGGAAGTGATGCAATTTTTTTTACAACGACAGCACAGGATTTACGACAGTGTCAATGATATTTTTGCATTGAGCAACAACTAGGCATTGACGAAGTGAAGGTGCCGCTAGAGTGGTGTATTTTGAAATAACTTGGACTTGATGACGCGGTAACGCGGTGACGGCGGAAGCAATTGGCAACGACGCTTACTGAAAAGTAAGTGAGGGGGTGTTATGGCAGATAGTCACAACAAGAGAGTGGTGTAGATCACTTTGCTGACGTTTGGGGACGACTACCTTCACGTTAAAAGGGGCGTAATTCTCTACGGTCGTCTTGAGTGTGTCATACAACTTCACTCAAGGTCAGTGGTCAGTCAGTGGACGACTCAGACTCCCTTCACACCTGTGTGCACCCACACATTGCTTGACCCTTTTCATTTGAACGTTCAGGAGAAAAGGTTGAGTGGGATTGCGGGTGTCATGCATGAGTAAAAAGGTGGTCTGACGTGAGTAGTGGGGACTTTGCTCGTCTGCTTTTGTTTTTGTTGTTTGTGTATGGTACAGGTAGGTAGAAGGATGCTTGCAAAGGAGATTGTCTTCTTTCTACCTTCCATCTGCCTGCTTGTCAAAGTGAACTTGTTGTTTTGAAAAAAAATAATTTAATGCGTGTCGTAAAATGAATGTGATTGAAATGAAGAAGATAAGGTCAAAATAACTTAGCCCTTTCTTAGGTTTACCCGTTCTATCCCAAATGACCTTATCTACCTATACCTGTCCAAATGATTCTCATTCTCTATCTCCTTCTGTTTCTTTTCGTCTAAGTTACCCTTGACTTAGGAGAAATGAGAATAACTAAAACCTACTTGTGATGAACACATTCTTTTTCTTCAGGAATCATATGTGGCGGGGGTTCGTTGCTTTAGGAGCCGACCCTGTTATCGACCCAGAGTGAACCGTTCTACATGGGGGGTACTCTGCCGATTCGGTGGAGACGGTCCGACTTCTGAGATCCGAGCTTTGAGCTCGGGCGAGGAGTACCCCAGACCACTTCCTGAAGAGAGGTATGCAACACCTCAAGCAAATGCCCCGATCAAGAATAATTTGTAAAACACCCTGCCATCTAAGAAAATTGAGAAAGTATGGAGACGAGTGTGAGTATGTCTAATCGTAGGTCGGTGGTGGAGTGAAATGAATGACTTTGGCAACGCGTCTTATCAAGTCAAAACTAAGGCAGTCCGACTAACTTGTCGACTGCATCAATATTATTGTCGGTAACGAACTTCTTGTTGGCAGTTGTATGATTGTTTTGTGGAGTTCGACCCGGGGTGGTCAGATTTTATAACGATCTTGTGTTATTGGATATATCTAATGATGATTTTATCTTTTTAGTTATCATTTCATATTGATATATTTCCGTCGACCACAGTCGACTTCTTTTGATGTAATTGTCTGTGAATGTTATAATTCTCTTTGGTTACATGTCTAAGGGACTAGGATAAATAATTGGGTTTCACGCTTGGTTGAGACCGTCCTAGTCGAACGGCGTACGCTTCGTACTTGGGAGATCAGCACCCTAAGAAACGGACGACGTCCGGGTTCAATAGGCGTTTTAATCGCGTGTACCTACACTACAGCGAGCGAGCAAACGCCCTCGGCCGACCCACCTCTGGAATTGCATTTAAAAGCTTTCGCACGTGGGTCGGTAGCTCGGTAGGGATACGCCCCTAAGGGTGGTGACAGCCCCTTAGGGAAGCAAGCTTATGCCCCGCGAAAACATGTCCTGTCATAGGGGACCGCGGGATGTATTGCTCGCGCACCCGGCTGGAGCAGCGAAGGGACGACGCGACCACGACCGTCTCGACGGTCCGCAGGATAATGTATGCGTCCCCCCTAAGTTGTCTTTAAGGTGTCTATTTAAATTCCTGCGTGACATGGTCGGGAGGGCTCCCGCCTCTTTCGAAAGAAAAGACGGGGGCCGATGCGCTCGACAGGTGGCGTCGTTGCCGGGGATAACGACAAACTGCTGTTGTCCCTGGTGGAACGACACTCGGGTAATGTAATTTTGATCAATAGACATTTAAGTAAATAATTTTGAATGATTTTATTATTTTCAAATGATACATGGATTGCACATGTATATATGTGTATATTACTAGATACAACTTCATATAAGTTAAAATCGATTATTGATAAAATTTTGCGTCTCTTGCCAGCTAAAACGATAACGAAGGGAACGTTCAATTGTATGTGTCCTCTCTTCAAAGGCATCGAGGTCGTCGAGTTCTTACATGCTTTTTAGAACTTGGCATCATTGATGCTTTGAGAGGAACATTACAAGTTCTTTTTTATCCTGAACTTTGTCATCGAAGGGCTAAAATTTGACGTCGGACTTCTATCACGGGCTTCTGGAACTTGGCCTGAATTTGAAAGATTAATGATCGCCAAGTTTACGGAGTCACCCAAAAAGGAGATTAATAAAGGAAAAAGGATGGAACGACACTTGGGTAAAGTAATTTTGATCAATAGACATTGGAATAAATAATTTTGAATGATTTTATTATTTTCAAATGATACATGGATTGCACATGTATATATGTGTATATTACTAGATACAACTTCATATAAGTATAATTTTCTATTCATTTATCTAGTCATTTTATTATGTAGATCTTATGAATTTTAAGATACTGAAATATTAAGATTATGGGTTTTTATAAGATTTTGATTTAAAAAGTTAGATTCGATTATTGATAAAATTTTGCGTCTCTTGCCGGCTAAAACGATAACGAAGGGAACGTTCAACTGTATGTGTCCTCTCTTCAAAGGCATCGAGGTCATCGAGTTCTTACATGCTTTTTAGAACTTGGCATCATTGATGCTTTGAGAGGAACATCACAAGTTCCTTTTTATCATGAACTTTGTCATCGAAGGGTTAAAATTTGACGTCGGACTTCTATCACGGACTTCTGGAACTTGGCCTGAATTTGAAAGATTAATGATCGCCAAATTTACGGAGTCACCCAAAAAGGAGATTGATAAAGGAAAAAGGAAGCTAGTGCAAATAGGTGGCGAGGAGCAGAATGAGTCCAATCAGTTGGAACGACCTTGTAAGCTCGCTAAGGCTGCGAGGGTTGCGCATAACTTAGCTGAAGGGGGTCAAGGGACTTGTCAGAAAGATAATCGAGCCATGTATATTGAATCATTGCAAGATGTCCGTCTAGAATCTCGAGAAAACATTATGACCCCTTCGAATGTGTGTTTAGAGACACGAGAGCAAGGTGAATGTTCCAATCAGCTGGCTAACATGAAGAAAACCGCAGGGCATTACAAACCTCTGAGGTGCACATACTGTGGTGTGTGGGGTCATAGGATGCGATTTTGCAGACGCCTTAACCGTGATATTGAAAAAGGGATTGTGAATAGACGTGAGGACGAAGTTTGTGTAGATTGAAATAACGTGCTCGTCTTCCTTGCTAAGAAGGAAGACAAATTTATTAGGGATGTGCTTATCGATCGCATGTGGAAAAAATTTAGGAGCTAGACTTGTATGGCTCCGTTATTTTACTTTTGAGACATTGTTTTTAAGTCGTATAGATCTCATGATCTACGCTCATGTTTTTTCAGGGATCAGTCAGTTGTTATTACTCGATTAACTTCGGTTCATTATCAATCGATTGTTGACTTTATGTGATATTTTACAGCGTGGTTTTTCCTAAGTTCATTTCCTTGTGTGACATGGATGAACTCTCGTTGTGGTTGGGAGGTGGTGAACCAGGAATCCTTATGAAATTCCATGTGAGGGCGTTCGTTGTACATTGTTTTGAATTATATTGTTGTCTGTTGATTTTGAATATAATGCGTGACCTTTGTATCATGAATGAGATGATTGTATGTCTGTTATCATGTCGCGAACATTTTTTGATGGATTTGTGAGCTCTGTAGGTGGTAGTGAGGCCTGCGCCGGAGATATGCTCCTAGTCCATAGTGGGATGTTGTCCTCCGAATCCTGAGTGGTTTAAGGAAGGAGGACTACACTATCATTGAAAGGGAGGAAGGTGTTAAGGCATTGTTAAAACACTGCATGTAAGGGTAGACGACTATTGTTTGCCATGAGGGGAGAAGTGATCACCTAACCTCGTTTCAAACAAAGTCACCTTATCTCTATGGTCGGGGTCTGATCAGCCTCGGTTGTACAAGGTGGGGCTGTCCTACTTTATATGCGGGGGATTGATAAGGTCGCAACACTGAAATCGGAGGGAATGTGGTGAGGCTCGAATCTAAAGCGGTGCTTGATGTCGAGATGCTATCTCGTAAGTGGAATACACCACTCCTCGACGCATACCACAAGGAGTTCAGAAGTAAGGGGCATGGTAGCTTATGTGGATTGGGATGAGTTTCAAGCTTGGACGGGGAACTTTGGATGAATGGTTTCTCGTAAGTGGAATACACCACTCCTCTGAATGGTTCGTTCAGACTTTATCTGAACAACTTTCAGAAGGTTGATACGCTTGAGAGGTCTGTCAGGGGTTATTCCTGACTCACTTGAATTCTACTCAGGTGCAACAAAACTATCAATCGAATGAATTTCATCTTGGATCTATCCGGAGGGCTTCCGGTACCATTCAGAAAGACAATAAGTTTTTGAGTGGTCGCCAGTGGGATGATGTTGGAATCATTATGAAAAAGTTCCTATAAATTGAAGGTTTTCAGGGGTTAGACATGGGTCCAAGTTTGGATAAGGCTTGCCAGAGACAAAATCGGGTATCATTCCTTTCACTTATGAGTTGTATTGAGTTAAGGCTTCTGGAGGCTAAATCAAGTTTTGTTGTATGAAATTAAGGCTTTTGGAGGCTAAATCCAGTTTTGTTGTTATATTGTTATATGTTGGTGAAAACGTTTCGGCTTAGTTTCAGACAATCATTCAAATTGTTATGTATTGTGATCGTTGCTTTCACATGAAACTTTCATTGGAACCCTGGCCGTTTAAGTAAGTGATGAATGCCGTGGAAGTCATTCAATGGGGTCTGGGAATGCTGTCGGGGCAAATACCATGACAAGGGTATTTGTCGAGGGTTTTCAACATCGAACGCTGTCCGACTTTTCGCTTAATTGAAAGACTTGATGAGACTGATGTTTGTCAAAAGTTTATTCAGACCAACCCTATAACTGAGATACATAAAACCTGACGTCGTTGACATATGACGACATTGGCATTCGATCGAAACAGCGGGAGTCAGTGGTACGACTTATCGTTCGCGGACCCCGATAAGCCCGCAATGGTGCGCGGTCATGAAAAGACTGAAGCTAGACCTAATCTACCTAAAATAATGTCGCGCGACTGCTAAGCCGCGCGATTCAGATCCCAAAAAGGCTAAAAAGAAGGATGCGCCAGATATAGAGCCGCATCGCAAAGGGAATAGTTAGAAGGGGTTTTATTTCCTGAACCGTGAGGTTTGCTCCGAGCGAATAGGCAATGCCGTATGCGGAGCCTAAAAAGGCTACCCGCGGCGCCATCAAGGTGAGCCGCCCAATGAATGGGCGGCAGCGTGAGTGCGGCGGGACTAGGAGGCCGTCGTGCCGACAACAACGCAACTGACTTTGAAAAGGGAGGCCGACGAGGCTTGCCTATGGTCAAGGTTGGGTAGCTTGCTGGGCTGCTACCCTTCATATAGAAAGGTAGCAGGCTTAACTTCTGTAAAAAAGAGTTAGCCCAGTAGGTTACCGTGCAAAATTTTTACTCAGCAGATGCTGGGATCGAGCCGACGATAAGCAGTTTGGGCTAGTTCCTTTTGTTTTGGAGCTGCCCACTGCACCAGCATGAAGCGCAACTATTCTCGGTCGCGAGATCATCAAATCTGACGGTCGGGAACGACCACGTGGCTGCAGCATGACCCGTGCGCAAGGATGACACCATAAATCGAGAAATGGTCCAAAGTCCCGGTAGGGATTTGAACCCGGGTCTGTACCTCGATGTGCCATAGCAGGCCACGATGGGACGTGACCGTTGAGGGGGAAAACAACCAAAAGAACAGTCTTTGCAGACTGTGTGGGAGCACAAAGGCTTCCACTTCGTTTTGGACAGATGACTGTGGCCGCAAGATCTTGAGATCTCGCGGCCCACAGTTCACACGTGGAAAGCAAGAGGGGGTTGGAGGAGTTGAGTGGACAGTGAGAGAAAGAGAGAAATGAGAGAATGGGGAGAGGAGGATCTGCTCCTCCCGACCTGCCAGCTGCCTCCCCGTTGTCAGAGGGGTAAGAAGAAAAAGAAAAGAAAAGAAAAGAAAAGAAGAAAACCAAAGGAAAAAAAAGAAGAAAAAGAAAAGAAAAAGAAAATGGAAAACGGGATCTGACTTTTTTTTTGAAAAACTATATTTTTCAGTTTGCGCCACTATTTCTTTGGTGGCGTAAAACAATGTTTTTGACCTTGATTTTTTTTTCTGTAGGTAGTCAAGCACCTAGGCCATGTGCATGAATGTTTTTAGATTTTTTCATTCAGCGAATATTTTTCTAAAATTCATCAAAGTCGAGGTACTTTTTGCACCCCGCCCTGAGTCTGTCGGGATTTGAAGTCGTGAATTTTCACGAGTTCTTTCCCTACTCCTCCCAACCTGACAACTGTACTCCCCGTTTTCAGGGGAAGGCAGCAGAGGAAAGGGGCAGGCAACTGCATGCTCCTGGCTCAAATCACGGCCAGGAGCATTGCAGTTGAGGGGGTTAAAGTTTTCTTGATTTATTTATTTATTTATTTATTTTATTTTTATTTTTTTTCTTTACTTTTCGTGAGGACACTTGTCCTCACGTGAAGCTGCTCGAGGTAACAGTCAGGCTCTCGTTTTTGAAGGGAGCCTGAAAATTGAGGGGTCATAAAAAGGAAAACGTCAAGTGCAGCCTTTTCCTGGATGTATCTGCCCTGGGAAAAGGGTACAGGTACATCGAACTGTAAAGGGTTGTATCTCTCCAACCCCTTATCAGAAAAATAAAAGAAAAAAAGTTTTGGAAATGGTAGGAACCCAGCTATCTCGTGAGATTCCGAGATAGCTGGGAAAAAGAAATAAAAAAATAAAATAGGGCAGTTAAAAAAACTGCCCCACACTAAGACTGTGGCTGTGGTTCGACCACAGTTAGCCCTGGATCTTGGAAAGATCAAGGGCTCACTGTGAGCCTGCGTTTTTGCCTGAGGGTTGGAGTGACGCCCAACCCTCCTCAACCACTATATAACAGGCAGCTGTCCCCAGCTGCCACACAATGCACTTGTGATGCCAGTGTGTGACGAACACACTTGAGTGCTGCTGACTACTGGAGCTGTTGCCTGAGGCAACGTGAGCAGAGGCTGGAGACCTGCTGAGGAGCGCAAGGAGGAGAGTTGGGCAGCCATAGCCAAGGCAGGGAGCACTCTGCTCCCCTCCCCTCTGGCTGATGCTGGTCCCATGGGGCTGACCCAGGGGCGCTGTAGGACTACGGCAAGACGGCGCTGTGAAATTTGGGTTTGGGGCCCTAATTTTACCAATTTTGGCCAGCTATTTTTCCACTATAGTGAGGAAGTGTTGCCAAAATTTTATAGCGGCGGCCAGCGGCGACACGGGTTTTACGGCGGTAGTACGGAAGTGCTGCCGAAATTCTGCGGCAGTGATGCGGGTTTTACGGCGGTGGTACGGAAGTGTTGTCGAAATTCTGCGGCGGCGACGCGGGTTTTACGAGGTTAGTACGGAAGTGCTGCCGAAATTATGCGGCGGCAACGCGGGTTTTACGGGGGTAGTACGAAAATGCTGCTGAAATTCTGCGGCGGCGACGAGGGGTTTTCGGCGGTGGTACGGAAGTGCTGCCGAAATTCTGCGGCGGCAACAAAGGTCTTACGGCGGTGGTGCGGAAGCGCTGTTGAAACTCTGCAGCGACGACGCAGGTCTTACGGCGGTGGTGCGGAAGCGCTGTCGAATTTCTGCGGCAGCGGCACTGATTTTAACGACGGCGGTGCGAAAGCGCTGTCGAAACTCTGTGGCGGCGGCACTAAGTTTAACGGCAGTGGTGCGGAAGCGTTGTTGAAACTTTGCGGCGGCGGCACTAAGTTTGACGGCGGTGGTGGGGAAGCGCTGTCGAATTTCTGCGGCGGCGACACTGAGTTTAACGGCGGTGGTGCGAAAGCACTGTCGAAACTCTGCGGCGGCAACACTAAGTTTAATGGCGGTGGTGCGGAAGAGCTATCGAATTTCTGCGGCGACGACGCTGGGTTTGTCAGCGGTGGTATGGAAGTGCTGCAAAAAATTTTCAACGACAGCACATGATTTACGTTAGTGTCGATGGTATTTTTGGGTTGAGCAACAACTAGGCATTGGCGCAATGAAGGTGCCGCTAGAGTGGTGTATTTTGAGATAGCTTAGACTTGACGGCGCGGTAACGTGGTGACGGTGGAAACAATTGGCAACGACGCTTACTGAAAAGTAAGTGAGGGGGTGTTGTGGCAGATGGTCATAACAAGAGAGTGGTGTAAATTTCTTTGTCGACGACTGGGGACGACTACCTTCACGTCAAAAGGGGCGTAATTCTATATTGTCTTTTTTAGTGTGTCATACAACTTCACTCAAGGTCAGTGGTCAGTCAGTGGACGACTCAGACTCCCTTCACACCTGTGTGCACCCACACATTGCTGACCCTTTTGCTTTGAACGTTCAAGAGAAAAGGTTGAGTGGGATTGTGGGCGTCATGCATGAGTAAATAGGTGGTCTGACGTGAGTAGTGGGGACTTTGCTCGTCTTCTTTTATTTGTGTTGTCTGTGTGTTGTACAGGTAGGTAGAAGGATGCTTGCAAAGGAGATTGACTTTGCCTATTGGACAAAGATGAAACAAATTGTCTTATTTCTACCTTCCACCTACCTGCTTGTCAAAGTGAACTTGTTGTTTTAAAAAGGATTAATTCAGTGTGTGTCGTGATTAAAATAAAGAAGATAAGGTCAAAATAACTTAGTCCTTTCTTGAGGTTTACTCGTTCTATCCCGAATGACCTTATCTACCTATACATGTCCAAATAATTCTCATTCTCTATCTCCTTCTGTTTCTTTTCGTCTAAGTTACCCCTGACTTAGGAGAAATGAGAATAACTAAAACCTACTTGCGGTGAACACATTCTTTTTCTTCAAGAAGCATCTGGGGCGGGGGTTCGTTGTTTTAGGAGCCGACCCTGTTATCGACCCAGAGTGGACCGTTCTATGGGGGGGGTACTCTGTCGATTCGGTGGAGACGGCCCGACTTCTGAAATCCGAGCTTTGAGTTCGGGCGAGGAGGAGGAGTACCCCAGACCACTTCCTGGAGAGAGAGGCATGCAACACCTCAAGCAAATGCCCTGATCAAGAATATTGTAAAACACATTGTCATTCAAGAAAATTGAGAAAGTATGAAGACGGGTGTGAGTATGTCTAATCGTAGGTCGGCGGTGGGGTGAATGAATGACTTTGGCAATGCATCTCATCAAGTCAAAACTAAGGCAGTCCGACTACCTTGTCGGCTGCATCAATATTATTGTTTGTAGCCAACAATGTGCTGAGACGGGCGTGGTCCTATATGCAGAACTTGAAGAAGCAATAATGATGGTGGTAATAACCAAAAACTGATATTGTTTAACCGTGGAAAGACCATATCCGGCGCTCCAATTAAAATAGGAACAAACCAGTTTCCAAACCTGCCTATAAGAGAAGACATTATCATAAAGTATGATTGTTTTGTGGAATTCGACCCGGGGTGGTCGGATTTTATAACGATCTTGTGTTATCGGATATATCTAATGATGATTTTATCTTTTTCGTTATCATTTCATATTGATATATTTCTGTCGACTACAGTCGACTTCTTTTGATGTAATTGTCTGTGAATGTTATAATTCTCTTTGGTTATATGTCTAGAGACTAGGATAAATAATTGGGTTTCACGCTTGGTTGAGATCGTCTTAGTCGACCGGCGTACGCTTCGTACTTGGGAGATCAGCGCCCTAAGAAACGGACGACGTCCGGGTTCAATAGGCGTTTTAATCGCGCGTACCTATACTACAGGGAGCGAGCAAACACCCTCGGCCGACTCACCTCTGCAATTTCATTTAAAAGTTTTCGCACTGGGTCGGTAGCTCGGTAGGGATACGCCCCTAAGGGTGGTGACAACCCCTTAGGGAAGCAAGCTTATGCCCCGTGGAAACCTGTTCTGTCGTAGTTGACCGCGGGACTTAGAGCTGGCACACCCGGCTAGAGCGGCGAAGGGACGACGGGACCTCGACCATCTCGACGGTCCGCAGGATAATGTATGCGTCCCCCCCAAGTTGTCTCTAAGATGTCTATTTAAACTCTTGCGTGACATGGCCAGGAGGGCTCTCGCCTCTTTCGAAATGAAAGGCGGGGGCCGACGCGCTGGATAGCGTAACCTGAACGGCGGGCCTACGTCTTGCCAAGGGAGTAAAAACTTAAAGGGGTGTGGTCACCTAGGAAGGTTTTACTCTTGCGGAACGACGTGGGATAGGAGTCGAGTCGAGTCTTTTTTAGTCTTGATTGAATGCTTATCAGGAGAAAACCTATCGTGGCGCAACCTGCGAGGGCACTACTGCTAAAATAACAGCGTTGTGGGCTGTAGATATGGCGCGATCACCCAGACTATGGTGGGTCAGGATGGAGACCGGACCTTCCTGTACTAGACTGCAGGAAGAGTCTATGATGAGATTTGTATATATATATATATATGTTTCATTGTGAGAATTGTTGGAGGGAGGCAAAAGTGTCTTCAAAGGTCTCAGTTAGGGCACGCGTCCCTGGTTATGGCCCTGCGTGCAGGGTAGAGACTAGGGTGACTTAACGAGAAGTCGGCGTTTGTCTAGGACAAAAGGGGAGAGGACAATTTAGAAGGGCCGCTGAAACTTATGCTGTAGTACGTATGCCCAGTACACCAGCGTCCTAGTGTCGGGACAATGAAGACCCAGGTTGGAATCCTGGCAGCATATAGTTATAAGGGCTTGGATTGTTGGAGGTCTCGAACCTGAGTCTGTCGGCTTATCGGATTGGTTCCTTTCTCGTCAGCATTTAGAATTTTGGACGGACTTATAGCTTTTTGATATTCCGAAGCGACAGGGATGTGGCTTAATATGGTCCGGTAAGCTGTCAGTGCGAATACCCTTACAAGGGTATCTGCCCTAGTTTTTGTAAGCGTCAGAAGATAGGTTTGGTTTAAAGTTTAGGTGTTTTGGGCGAGGCGCGACTGTGTCTTAGGTTTACGTTGATTGGCTGACTAGTTTAAAGAGTGTGTGGCCGCGCGGATTTTGAGGCGCGTGTGATCTTTTACTTTTTTTATGATCGTGAAAGCTGGTATGGTTGCCGACCGGATTTTTCTTCTGATTAAGCTAGGATTACAAAGGATTCCGTCTCTTGATTGGTGCGCTTACTTGTGACCTATGCGTACGTGTGGAGGACGACATCGACAACGACGTGAGTTTGGGGACGTTTCGATAGATCTAAGTGTTGTGCAGTACCCTTTTACTTTAGATATCACACAATACTAGACTCAGATTTGGGGCCTAGCATTATTGGTTACGACATTTGACTTTCTTCGGAGAGATTCGAAGATCGAGATCGAGCGGCGACGGTGCGGGAGTGTGGGAGCGACACTGATGAATCGGGGGGTTGAGGGCAAGGAAGGGCTATCCCCCTTGGTTTTGCTGTCGGCGGCGACGAAACGGTACTAACGGCCTTTTTTTCCTCCTTCGCCATATCCTAATGATTAAAATCTTCTAAAAGTTTTATTATGTATTGTCGTTGTTTTTTATTTTTTATGTTTCGGTGTTCTTTGAATCAAAGGCGTGACGCCGGATTCGGAGGTCGTCGACGTGATTGATGAGTCGGCTCAGGTGGCATGAACTTTGACATTGAGTCAACATACCGAGGGCGTTGAGGCGGTTGGGGATCTGGAGCGCGCGTCTCTTTAGGCTGGCGGCAGGGCGCTGGTGTGTTTGGTACGATGAAATAATACTCTATCCCGCAGTCTGAAGGTAAGGACCGAGGGGTTCAACGTGCATGCGAGCTCGTGGGGCATTTGACCTGCAAACTAGGAAAAAACTTCAGCGGCGGGGACCTTCGGTGGGTGCGATAGATACCACACGCAGGTAGGCAATACCGGCCATGGGAAAGCAGGTTGCATCAGGACCGAGCCTTTTTCGACGGGTCAGTCACTGTGACTCGCCTCCAGTCCCCTCCCTCTATGAACAACAATGGTTTTCCTCCGAAGTTTCCCTCATGATAGTTGGAGCTGTTGAACAGTTTGCCGCCCATTACGATGGAGTCCTCACTGTCGGGGCCGGTACTCCAAGGAAGCAAGGTAAGCAACAGTAGAAATAGGGGAGGCTCAGGGCAGGATTGGCGAGCGATAGCGCAGTGGAGCAACATGCACTAAGGCAGGGCAGCGGAGGGCGCAAGGCCAATGGACTGGCGGTGAAGTGAGCGAGGAGGAAACTGGGAGCAGGCGAAGGGGTGAATGCGGACACAAAGTGGTGTCGGGTGCATGCAGACAGCGAGCACGAGCTATGGCGGAAATACGGGCAGGAACGAGCGAGAAAACGAAAATCCCGCCCAATCCTTGATGTAATTAGGTGGGGAAGGGGGCGATCCGAAGGTTTTGGCCCTGGGCGAATTGCATGGTGAGGTTACATTTAGTGCTAGGTTAGTAGAAATAAAGTTAGTAAGAAGATAAGTTGTGCGGGGTTATGGCGGAGGGAGAAGAAGTAAGGCGAGGAAAGTGTGAACCTCTCCCGTTTCTTGATGAAAACGAGAGAGGGATGATCCATTCCGTTTTTTTTTTTTTGTAGGTGACCACGAATATACGATTAGTTTTGGAGGTGGATTAGAAGTTAAATTAGAAAACGAGCGCACAAAGATGGCGAGGAGTGAGGAAGAGAGGAGAATAAAATCGTTGATTCCGCCCACTACTTAACGAAAACGGGCGAGGGAGGATGTGTTTCAAAGGTTTCAAAGTGCTGCGAATCCAATGACACGGTTGGAATTCGCAGAAAGAGGGTAGTTTTTGCACTATAGGGAGACGAGGGTGCGCGCCTTGGAAACAAGTTTAACAAAATTTCGATGCATCCATCCAGTTTTCGGCTGTAGATTCATTCAAAATTGCAAATCCTATCGGTGGAAGTAGCCGCTCCCGTTCTCACTGCGCATGTGTCTGGAAGGCATGTATTTGGCTGCATTCCAACAGAAGATTCATCACGGCTTTGTGTCGGAAATGATTGTCTCCTACTTGAAAGGCAACGCATACTCCCGCATTCTAGTGGGAGATTCATTCCCATTTGCACGTTTCATTGTGGTAAGGAACAACATACCGGCTCCCAGA